CTGGATATTGTTGCTGGCTTAAAACATATGCATAGTCATGGATTTGTACATACAGATTTATCTGCTAGAAATTGTTTAGTAGCATCAGACTTATCAGCAAAATTGGGAGATTATGGGACTGGTGTAGAAAAATATCCTGAAGATTATTATGTAGTTGGAGATCGTGCATTACCCATTAGGTGGTCAGCACCAGAAAGTGTAGAGTGTACTGATACTACTATTGAAACAAGAGAAATTACATCTCAAGCAAATATATGGAGTTATGCTATTTTTCTTTGGGAAATTATTACATGGGGAAACAGACCATACCATGATAAGAGTGATGAACAAGTAATTCAAATGCTTTTACCTTTAAGAACTGATCTTTTATCAAATGGTATACAAGTGCTGCAAACATACCTAGAAAATTGTCCACCAAATATATATCAAGCAATTCATTTATGTTTGAATTTAAATCCACAGAAAAGACCAAATTTGGACGAGATTAAGCAACTTCTTTTGAATGAATATACAGAATACCTGGATTTTGAACAAAGATGGGAGAATTTACGAGTTAATGCTAAACATGTTCGAAGTGCTAGTTTGCAAGATCTTCGAGGAAGTATCGATTCAGATTATTGGACCACTATTGTTGATGATACACCACGCCAGTCGTCATTTCGACTCGGACCCAATGAACTAGTAAAAAATATACCAAATGTTAAAAATATTATTCATCATGAATCTAGTTCCGAAACTGAAGAAGAAAGTTGGAAAGGACGAATTGAACAAGGAGTTTATACAGAAAAAGTCAAACAAAAATCCAAATCTGTTACTGACTTAATGGTACTTGTACATATCGATTTTGATTCTGATGCAGAATTATCGCTGGGTGCTCAAATGTCGGAAAAATATGGGAAAAAAAAATTGCCCGCTACCGGCAGTGATAGTGATCTTAGGCACAGCCTCCATACAGATGAATTTGATGAAACATTAAGAAAATTACGCGATCCTTTGCCAAATAATACTTGTAATAAAATCAGAATGCTAGATATTTCAGAAAAGCCAAAATTATTGACATTAACCATGGATCAAGCTCAAACTCCGATTTTGAGATTATCTTTAAATGATAAAGAATCTGATATTAGATCTATTGCAAATGCAACTACAGAAACACGTAATGAAAAACATGTATTAAGACTCTTATCAAAAGGAGATCCTAATCTTCCTCTTTTACGTTATGTACCTGATGACACATCTTGTGAAATGCTAAAAGAAAACAAGTTCCAATCTAATGATACATCTAATTATGAAAACAGCAATAATATATGTAATTTTCCTAATAACATGTCAGTTACTTTTGGGACTAGTGAAAGTAATGTAGTTGATGTTGCACTTTGGAATCATGTATTAGATTCTGCTTTAGAAAAAAAGGTACCTGGTTTCTTGGATGAAGGTGAGTTTAACGAATATATAGAATCTTCATCTAAACAAGAAAATACTACTGCATCAGAATTAACTACTGAATCTATGTCAGATACTTTACAATCTCAGAAACACTCTACATATAATGCAAGTGATAAATTTTCTAATGAAGAAGATACAGACATAAACAGAAGATGTGTACCAAATGAAGATGAAGAAGAAAGAAAACAATTATCCACACCTGATGACGAACAAAGTTCTGATTCTGGATTTAGAGATAAAGAATCCTGTGAAGAAGAAGAAAATGTTTATCCTTTAATTCCTTCCACCTCTACTGATAATTCTGCAGTGAATATACCAGCATGTACTGAAGAAGAACAATTACAAATTTTATTCGAACTGGATACTATTCTTGATGCAGAATACTATGCAACACTTCCTAGTTCTGAAAAAACAGAAAATTTAACTTCAATTAATCATACAGAAAATAAAATTCTTTCTACAAATGAAGACGAATCTGATTCTATTCATACTATAGACACTATAATTGAAATAGAGAATAATGAAAATACTCCTAATATTAATTTAGTAGAAGGTAATATTATAAAATCAGTATCAGAAGATAAACAAGAAATACAAACAGAAAATGTTACTGATATCACGGAAATTACCGAACCAAAAAATTCAAGTGATATCAATTCTCTTTCTCAAGAAATAGATTTACAACATAATAGAACACAACATAATATAAAAACAGACGTCGAATATTTCAAAGAACAAGATGGATTAAAATATTTACAAAATAAAGATGAAAATGAAATTAAAATTAAAATTAAAAATGAAATTGAAAATAAAAATGAAAATGATATCATTATTACTATAAAAGAATCTGAAAATAAAGATATAATTGAAAATAAAAGTAAATGTGAAAATGATATTGAAAAAAATGAAGAAAATATAAGTGTAAATAAAAATAAAAATAAAGTTGAAGATAAAAATGATGAAGAAAATGAAGGTAAAAGCAACAAACATGAAAATAATATTGAAAATAGTAATGAAAGTGAAAATGAGAAAGAAATAGAAAAAAAAAATGAAAATGACATTGAAGATGAAGATAGTTCTACAATGAGTTTACGTAGTGATAATTCTTATGTATCATTTGACATAGAAGAAGAGTTTGTAACTGCAATTCGAAATGAGCTTAGAGAGAAATTGCCTTGTGCGCAGATGTCTGTTATAGAACCATTAGAAGCTCATGATAATGATCCTTCTATAGATTGTAAACATTGGGATGATGATGATAGCGAAGATTCTTCTAATCAAGGTAGTGGAGGAGTGGGCATTTCAATAAGGTAACTTTTTACTTCCTAACAATATAAGATTGTTTAGTAATGAGTATAGTTTATCTATTATTTAAAAATAGATGTAGAAGTTTATCATTATATTTAGGTATAATGTGTATGATTCGCCACTCAGTCCAATCCAAGAAGAACGAGAAAGTACTCTGACCTCAGAGTCTTTAATATCAAATTCTATAGATACATCAATTGCTTCAAAAGAATCTGTTACTTCAGATGACGTCTTATTAGTTGATACTCGAACAAATAAAATGATTTTATTAGAAGGATTAGGAGAAAAACTACAAGATGATGAACGAGATACAACTAATGGAGATTTATCTGAAGAAGAAAATTTGGATTATAATTGTTCGGTAGTTCGTTCTCGTGATGACAAATCTCATATTATGGTTGCAAGTGGTGGAGCACCTTTACCAAGTCCAGAGGAAGAAACTAAATGGCAACAATTACCTCCATCTTTTCCGTTGCCATTGCCTTTACCATTAGAAGATGATTTAATGTCAACAAGTTTTGGAACAGAGCATGGATGGGGTAGTCAGGATGAAGATGATGAAGAAGAAGAGGAAGAAGATGAAGAAGAAGAGGATGAAAATAATAGCTCTAGTTCTGGAGAATTTGTCTGGAAAGTAAGCATATTGTAAATCAAACATGTATGTATAAATTTATTTTTTATACGTGTAATAATTTTATATTGTTTCACAGAGATATAATGAATCCCATGTTGAGCAAGTTCAAATTCGAAGTGTAAGTAATAATGAAGAAGCAATAATAGATGCTGATGTAGAGGATGAAATAGATGCAGAGGAAGAAGGGGAAGGTGAAGAAGAAGAAGAAGAGGAGGAAGAATTTACACCATCAGCTTGGAATGCAACATTAGAGCCTCATCGTTCTGCATTAAGATCTCCAGATAAAACATTAAAATCTAATGTAAGATTTATAATATTTTTACATTTATTTAAACCTAATATGAATATTTATATTTGTTTATATTTATTTTTGCTGCTAGGATGAATCGGTGAGTATTTAGCAATATTTTCTTAATATAATATATATTATACTACATACATAGTGTAATAAATTTAAGTATATTAATAATATATTGTTTATTAGGATCAAAAGAAGAGTGTATGGTTTAAGAAACAACGCTATCACTGTGTATATGAATATCCAAAGGAAACAATGGCTATAGAAACTCAAGGAGAACCAACTACTACTTGGGAGCCAACTTCATATAGTGGTAAACAAATATTTCAAAAATTTGAAGTTATAAATAAAAATATTTAAAAAATACAGAATTTATATATGGAAGGATAATTAAAAAATAAGTGAGGTATAATTTTTTTTTTATTTTAGATTGGGAGGAAATGATAGACGAACCACGATTAGATCTATATTCTCTTGATTATGATGATACTAATCATACTGGTATGCTTTAATATTATACATATATTTTTAGATAGTTAATATGATATATATGAAACATTTATAAACATGTATATTTTATCTTATATTATAAAATTTATTTTGATTATAGGAAATGAAGAATTTTTTGTGAGCAGTTCAAATCGTCCGTTTCAATTTCAAACTAGCGAAAGTAAATATGTAAGTCAATTCTTTCCTGGTGCGTCTACATCAATGACTGAAGAACGAGATGAAATAGATGGTGATCAACAAGGAATACCACAAAATGGAATAGACTTGTTAACTGACTGTAGTCAGAGTCAACAATATCAATTAGGAGAGTTGAGGCACACTAGAGATCGCTTAAAATTGAATTTATCTATAACTGATGCATCTTTTGTTTCTATTAAACAAACGAAAGAGAATAATATAGAGCATGATACAGAAAACGTGTCGGAATTCTCAGAAAATATAGACTTTACGCAGGACCAACATATTCTATCAAACTCCTTGAATTATAATATGTTACCAACGGTGCCTCCCAAAGACATTCAAGAAAAAAAAAGTCTTGATCCGACTTCTTCAAAAAGTGCCCAATGTGATAGTCAACAAAAAATTGAACCTGTCGACAAGTGTAGTGTTTTGACTCAGAACTAATATGTTTCAACGATAGTAAAATGTTAAAAAAGATAATTTAGCTGAAGTCCGTCCGAATTAATTTCGTTGCAAAAAATGTAGTGACTACTCAAATAGTTTACTATTAAATGAATCTCGAATTGTTGTACATAAGATGTAGCAAATTTTTATTATGACTGAGATTCAATCGATTGTCTATAATATTATATTAAATTTTGGTTTGTATAGAAACAGTATAAATAGAGCTTAATGTTTATATAATTTTTGATACGATTAGCTTCTCGACGACAAAGAAACGAAAATGTTAATTAAATCAAATAGCAGACAATCGATTTTTAAAAGCTACATCAAAACTATTGAATAATTTCGTTTCGTATCTGTAAATATTTATTAAACGTCGTTCAGTACATAATCGTTATCAGAGAAGTAGAATTTGCGTAAGTTAATGTTACTTTCATTGATGATATATAATTATTCATACTGATTTTTAATTGTTATTTTTAAATATGGTATCTTGTTTGGTATTAAAATTATGTTAGTAGAAAAAACAGCTCTCTACTCTAAAAGTATTATAGTGTCAATCAAGGGACGGTACTATAATCAAGTCTCAACATTTAGTTAAACGTGTATAGCGATTGATGCACGAATAAGTTTTTATAAATGTATATTGTATTGTTACTTTTACTAGAACTGTGATGGGCACAATTTGTGTACTTTTATTTCAGTTAATTTGATGACTCAAATTAGTAAAACTGCAGATAAAGTAGCACAGAAAACATGCTGCCGTACTTTTTTGCATACTATTTTCAATATTCTTAAATATTTTTGAGCACCTCTCGTTGCCTTTTTAACAATTTTTAATATTTAGATAATTTTTTACAGAAAAATAATATTACATGAAATATAAGTGCACAAAAAAGAAAGTTATTAACTATTAAATTCACAATACGCAAATTTATTTGAGTATGAAAATGAACAACAAAAATATGTTAATAATTGTTAATTATTAATATTGTACAATTTTTGCGAAAATATCTTCCAAAGTTTCCATATTGCTACAACAAAACATAACGGCAAAATAGATTAGATTAATAAAAAATATTTAAAAATACAAATAATATCAACATACTCGATACATGCATCAATATAATTTCATTAACATATGTGAAATCGAAAATGTATATGTTATGACTATTAATGGCACTGCGATTATTATGCAGTTTTACTACCATTACAATTATTATTATCATTATTGATAATGCTAACTCTGTGCTCATTATAATACATAGAATATTAATAGAGAACAATTAATATATTGTTATACAAAGCAGACATTGATTTAAACAGAATATGTGTTTTATTGTTATTATTTCCTATACCGTTATAATACACGCACATTTAATATTGTTTTACACATTTATACACGAAATATTTTAGTTCTATATATTTGGATTAATTTTACTAATTTTAGTTTATTTTTGCAGAAAATCAGAAAAATTTGATATAGTGTTGAATAACATATAAATGAAATAATTTGCTCAAATTCCAGAAGAGATAAATTAAACATTAGAATTTTATTATAAATATTTTACTTATAATTATTTTTATAAAATGTTTGTATAATATTATTTTATGTTTGTACATTATTAAAAGTTTATATATGACGTTGACGGTTACGCCATAAAATAATAAGTCCTTGATGATCCGCAGATGCAAGAAGAGATTCGTCATAATTAAAAGATAAAGCAATTGTCGGTGTAGCATGACCTTCCAATCGATTGATCTTTGCTGCTTTGCCTTTCCTAGCTGAATTCAATAAATGTATCGTACCATCCTCAGAACCAGTGGCTATTAAACATGTTTCCATTTGTGGGCAAAAAGTAGATCTCACAAAATACTGTCTGCAATAGATTTGTAAATTCATTATTTGTTACAATTTTATAAATTTTTTATATTAAAGACGTTTATTTTTGTAATAATATTCAAACTAAATTACTTATGCTTTATTGGATACTTTGTCCACAGGGATAAAGAACCTTGATTGTCGATAATATGATATAATAGTACTACGTTACAAGCACTGCTCACTAAAAGTGCCGGCCACGGAGCATCCTTTGAAAGCCATGAACGCCAAGAAAGGCTACTTATCATTCCACCAGTTTCTTGTACTCTTTTCAATTTCGTTAATCGTCCTGATGCTGGTTCTAATTGAAATGACATAATAATCCCTCTATCGTTTCCAATCCATATTACCGAACCACCACTACCCTCACAAGTCAATGACAAAATCTGAAATAGTGTTTTCTTTTATAATTAAATTTTATAAAATAAAAAGTGTCTCATAATAAGTTCTCACAGAACTTATAAATAAAAATAATAATAATTTAAAAAATATTTTGTTAGGATTATATACTTATATAATTAATTTTTCGATATTTACCATTATTAAAAGTTATAGAATACTAACTTTAGAATACATTATTAAGCATTATAGAATACTAACTTTTCCACCAATTTTGCAAGATCCATTGCGAGTATATATACCAGTAGATATATTTAAAATTTGCACTAGTCCTTGAGAATTACCAGCAACAATTAAATTATTATTTATTGGTATAAATCCACAGCATAGAACTTCTGCTCGTTGTTGATCATTAACTACTCGTAAACAAGTTGGACTATTTTCAGTGTTTAGGACATTCCACAGTCTTATTGTACCATCCAAAGAAGATGAAACTATAAGATCATTACTAATGCTCCAATCTAATGCAGTGACACCTTTCTTATGACCCTCCAATAAAGCTATTACTTTTGGAGGAGTGCTAATAGCATCACATATAGATAGTAATCCATCTAATGATGCACAACATAGCTTTGATCTATCATTATTTGCAAACTTAAGCATCATTACAGGTGCATTGTGTTGATCGAAAACATGATGCATTCCATCAAAGGCAAAGCTTTCTGCAATTGATTTTCTTTGTATACTGTAAAGCTTTGTTTTTATTTCAGATTTTTCTTCTTCAGTTGTATAATTATTAAAACTATTTTGTTCCAAGTTTTCACCATATCGTAGAAATAATAGCTTTGCTCTTAACTTTAAATAATTTTCTCTAATTTTTGGATCTTTGCTAAACTTCTCTTTTAACAACTGATTTCTGCGACGAATATACAGCATCCCTGTAATAATATGACTGATATTACACTGATCACTTTTATAGCAATATATTAGATTATGAAACACACATACAAACCTAAAGTAGGTAATTTGTTCACACGTTGTGCATTATACTTAGCATCAAGAGCAAAGACTTGTTGATGCCACATAATAACAATGTATTATATAGATATAACAATTTAAAGTATTAATTGATTCATTAAATTAGATATAGTAGCTTAAAATAAAATGCTACGTATACATTTAACCTATTAAATAACTTATGGTTTATAAAAAGATACAGAACATAATTTGAAAATGTTTTTATTTGTTGTTTTTTCATGCATTTTTCTTCCTCGATTTGTTCATAGTGTATGCACTATGCGTCACTTTGCGTCAATTTTCTTGCCCTTACTGACATTTGTAACATTTTTCAAAAAAATCTCATTAATGGACACATTTTTACTTGTACTATGATTAAAAGTTTATATAAACGCAGCTGATAAAAATTTAACTAGTTATATTGCTTCTAAAAGTGTTGAGTTCACGTTCATTTTCATTCTTCGTTATAAAATACGCATACTGCACGTACCTATATGTGTTACTTAAAATACTTGTATATCAAAATATATGTACATACAAATGATACTTCCATATTAAATCATTTGAATTTCGATTTTATTATGTGAATTGTTTTTCAAATGTCGCGTTGTTTTCTTTATATGTTTTGGTTAACTTAAACAAAATATTTATAAGACAAATTTTTATTGTAATTTCGTTTACTTTCATATGGTTAAAATAATTTAAAATTTATTTATACGTGTTCGTGTTCCATTGTAATAAGTAACTGATAAGATTAATAATAATTTAAATAACTGTTAGTAATCTTAGAATCAAGCAAAATCTTCGGAACAATTATAAATAAATTATTTTATAGTGAGTATTTTGTTTCGGTATTTTAAAATTGAGTTAATTAAATTAACTTTTATTTAAATAACTGAAGAATATCAAAATTATATAATATATTGATTGAATTAAAATATAAACAATACATACACACACACACACATATATATGTATGTATGATGTATGTATGTATGTATGTATGTATCTATGATGTGTGTATGTATGTATGTATGCATGTATGATAAATGTACAGGGTTTTTTTAAATACATTTATTCTTAGATATCCATATTTATACACAGTAGTAGCTATTCTTTTTAATAATTATATAATAGCGATAATGGCGCAATGCATTCTGCATTTCTCGATAGATTATTACTTGACAAAAATACAAAAATTATTAATGTTTAATAATCGTCATAACAAACCGTTTGATTTAAGTTTCGTTTACATTTTTCTTTTTCATTCTAGATATCTTGCATTTTCTTTTATTTTAATAGTACATTACATTTAATATACTTGTCCCTAATTCATTTCTTCCAACACATAAATTGTGAAACGTTCGAAAATTTACATTTGCAGAAAACAAAAAATAAAAAGATACGTGATTTTTCAATTGTTGCCAATTGTTCGAATGTTTACATGAGTGTATTTATATAAATATGCGTGCTTTGAATGCATGAAGGTGTTCCAAAAATGTTTCATATAAATTTGTTAACTTATTAAAATGTTCGTATGACTAACATAAACGCTCCAAACATACTTTCAATTTTAAATTAATTTTTAATTACTTCAGATATCAGTACAAAAGTAATTAAAAATAATTTTTTCTTTATTAAAAAAAATGAAACATAAAATGTTAATTCCAAATCTTAATTGAATTGTGTATTTGTAATAAATAATGTTCTTTGGAAGAAAATTCGTTTAGAAAACAATATAGAATAGAGAATACACAACAATTAATATATAAATTTAAGTTCTTTAAATTGAAAATAAAATTAATCTTCAAATTAATTTCAAAACATTTTAATGACAATATATTTAGCAACCATTTAAAATCATATGTATATTTGTAAAGCTTTTTTTGTATAGCACAATATTTCAAAGTTATTAAGTTAATAGTGTTACACAATAAAGTTTCGAAATATCCTGTATAGTCGATCGTATCCAGGATGATCGAATGATCCGCATCCGGGAATGATTTTGTCGATAAAATCGATCATTTCGATTTAATTCATTCGTTTCAAATCAAAATCGGTGATTTATGGTTACAGATTTACATTTTCCTTGTCCTTCTAAAAAGAACTATTCTACACTTGGTCTCCCATGATTTTCAAACATATCCTATCCATATCCATGTTATTCAATTTTGTATATATTTATATATGTATATGTATAATGCAATTGCTAACAAGATTTTACTTACAATTATGTACTTCTTTTTCATATCAGTGGTACTCAGAATACTTTTGCAATAAAACAATTTATTCCCAAAGTATAATACATGCTAGGTCGTAAGGATTTTAAGAGCGTCTCGTGAAAATACTTTACTCATATCTTTGTTGTTCTTAATGATAGGAATTATTTGTAATGATTGCTATCCACGATGCAAAAATGTAAAGTATGCCTCCTAAAATGATTTGCATTAATTAATGTGTTCCTTTCTGTCTGATTATTTTATAACTGTACAATATGTTTCTAATCAGCATAAATAATACAACAGTACGAATATTGTTTTATCAGACGGAATCGACAATTACATTTTTCTCTTTATTATAATCTAATTAAAATGATACAGGTCATTGTGAATACTTATTAGCGGTACACTAACATCGACATTTGTTTTTTTTTGTTACATTTGTTAAAAACTTATATTAATATCAAATTTAAAAAAATGTAAATAGTGCAGGTTGTTCTCGTTATATATGTAATTGAAATCAATATATAATATTGAACGTAAGCTTATTCAATATTTAATACTCAATACTTCGATCACTAAATTTCATTTTTATTTATGTATTAACAAATATTACAATTTTCAAGCAGATCCTAGAAATGAGTATGAATTAAAAGCAAAGAGTAAAAAAAGAATTGAAAAACTTACAACGTAGCCACATAAGATTATTATTTGAACTATACATTTTGTAAACATCAAATAGAATGTCATAATATGTATCTTAATTTTCTCCTATATCCGAAGAACTTCCTTACATAATAAGTTTCAAAAATGTTTTAAAGCTGGTGTAACTATCCCATAATAATTATAAATTTTTTATCTGTTTCCAGATATATTTGTATAATGCAATTACCGATCCAAAAATCATTTGGATTTTATTAAATTTGAAAAGGGCAAACAATACTCCACAAACGAAAACTTTAGAATTGTTATTAAACTAAAGCATAAACTATTATTATCTAGAAGATAAATTACATAGATGATATAGAGTAATTAGTAAAAGTTAATATATGAATAAGGTAATGTACGTTTTAGATAATATAACTTACAATATGAAAGGATTGTAAAAAGTTATATGAGAAGTTCCTGCAAAAAGCAGATGTTTGAACTCTATTTGAATTTTATTCAAGGCACCACAAGAAAATTATTGAATTCTGCTTTGTTTCTTAGTACTTTGTGGCACTATTTAATCTGCAATGCCGCTTTTATAAACATAAAATATATTAAATAAGTACCGCTCTCATTTTGAAATCAACATTCTTTGAAAACATGGTATGACGGTATCTTCTTTTTGGTTTAATAGCTTTTTGTTAATAAAATATAACGTCCATAAATTCTGGTAACTAAAAGAAATGCGACCAAATCAAATATATGTATATATGGGTGCGCGCAAGAATGCGAAACTAGTGCGATTATACATTCGTTTTTAAATACCAAAAGTGACAACATTATGATTATGTATTATAACTTTATATACCTGATGTTCCGTGGTTAAATACATACAATAATTGTAATTTACATAGTATAGTTTTACGTTTCATCACGTGCTTTGTGTTCATGTAAAGAAGCACTTTAGATGTAATGAGCCGAGATGCCTACATCATACAAAAAAACTATCACCCTTTGCAGTCGATGCAGTATATTCGCAATTGCACAGTAGTATACAGATAGGAGATCGGGAGTAAATTTAACAGTCAATTACTCATCTAAGATCATTTTTCCAGTATTTCACACGAGAGCTACTCACAAATCTTGATTTTTTTTTTTTTTATAGCGTTTTATAGCATACCATAATAAATTCTGTTCTTCATCTTGACAAATATGTACGATCATTCGTTCCGCAATTTTATACGTTATAAACGCTATAAATTTATTTGGCACGAATGCGCCTCACGTTTGGAAGAACTATGCAATTTTTTCATGCTGCATTTGACTACTCCCTTTTCCCTTTTACGTATTACATTTTGTTTCAAGGAAATATATTTATACATAAATATATATAATTGCATTATACACACCAAAAACTTTTTAATATAGTTAATGAATTACATATTATTATAAGTATAATAATATGTCAAAAGATTTCTTTATAATTCAACTTAATATTTCAAGATATAAAAATACAGAAATTAATACGACTAATTAAAACGAGTATAACGGTTTTTCTAACTAATCACTGTAAGAGATTTATGTGGAAAAGAAATATTACCACCTCGTTAACATAAAATCGTTAAAAATTGCTTAATCCTTCCACATTTTAAGATTCGTTTTATATTTTACATTAACTCGTGTCATACCAGAATCATTTAGTTTCACCAAGAAAAAAAAAAAAAAAAAAAGAAAAAAAAAAGAAAAAGAATCGTCTTGTCTCGTGTCCTTTATATCATTTATGTCAATGTCCTTATTTCACACCACCGTGTTTCACAATGGCGAAATGGTAGTTTGTCTAAAATGGTGCATTTTTGTTTTTATTCCCTCTTTTTCCCCGCGCAGTCCAATTCTTTAATTACTTCCAGTCCAGTAACTAGGACTATAACCAGGTTTTGCTTGGGCTTTGTTCTGGGAACTTGTATTAGACCTTTGGCCTGTACTGCTACCACCATCTTGATGAAGTGGTTGATGTAATTGATGAGGCATAGTTGGGATAAACAAATGCGGTGTTCCGTATGCACCAGGCAACCCAGCATTTTGACTTCCAGTCAAACTAAATGGCGGAGGTGTTGCCGAATGAAAAGTTTGTTTGTCGTAAGACTAAAATAACATTAATTGTTATTAATTTTCAATAATAAATTTTCAATTTTTATGAAATTGATTTTATGTGAATACTTACATTGACTTTACTAAGCGCTACATGACTCTTAGCGTACATTGTGGCGCTTATGTCGGTCGCGGACGATCCACCAGTATTAGTATTTCCAGTAGATGTTCCTGTTTTACCAGTTTGTGTACTGGTATAACTATTTCCTGCACCTTTGTATTCGGCAGAAGGACCAGCAGATGCTAATGCATCATAACTTGCTCCAGCTCCATATCCAGATCCATAACTTCCTGGTTTAGCACTGTATGCACCACTGTTCGTACCTGCATTACCAGCAGTTGCTATCTGCTATAGTAATTTTAATAAATGAAATACGAATTTTTATTAGAATATACATTAATGAAGAAACAGTTTTAATCTTATAATTTGATTAACTTACAGGATAAATAGCAGGAGTTCCATATTGGAAGCCACCTGGCATTATTCCACCGCCATATGCAAAGTATGCATATGTTGGAAGTGTAGGATTCATCATCGGT